AGTTTTTGTTAAAACGGCCGTTTGTTTACCAGCTTCATATTTGGTCATTTTTTAGAAAGTCCATAAAATACTTCTAACACCATATTTTGCAATGAGCTACAAACAAATTCTTCCGTTACTGCGTACTTGGCCCCGCACTTTCATTTTTATCTTCTAAATTATCCGTAGGTTCATTTTTGTCAGGCTTTCAGCACATCACTTTCCCGTGGCCACTACATATTTTTCTTGCAAAAAAATACTAAATATATCACAACATTTTTTTTCGACAAACTTTGCCTGAAAGAACCACAAAATATACTGCTTAAGAATTACTTATTGCGTTATTTAAATATTGTGACAATGATCCCGCCCCATTTAATTATTTTACGAAAATGTAGTTATTAAGTATAGTTAGTTCAAACACTCCTGACCATGGAGCTGCGCAAAGGCGGTGTCAAATTCACGTAAAGAGAGAAAGGTTCTATTGTAAGTGGAATTATACAGTGCATAGTACAATGCGTTTCGCATGGAAGTGGGGACTAAACCAAATTTCGTCTACTGCGCCGTGGTTTGGAGTGCTTGCACTATCTCTACTTAGCCATTACCGGAAATATGAAATTGTATGTAAATTTATATTTAGGTCAACCGCAGGAATTTTTCTTAATTATTTTTACATTTTATAAACAAAGACATCATATTTTGATATTATTTTACAAAAATATTTAATGACGATGATTTGGAATAAGTTTTACTTCTTTTTGTGTATATCAATAGTTATTGACGAACCCACAAAACAAAATGTCTACTTATTTTCGTAACTGAAAAATATTTTGTTTGGCCAGTCCTAAGTTTAGAAAAAAGATGAAAGCAAGTATTTTTTAATAGTATATTGCGAGATTCTTTATTGCTAAAAGCCATTGTTACGATTAATTTGTAAAAACATTTAAACAAACTAATAATTCAAAATTCAACACTGCTCCGGTAATTTTTTTTAAATGTTGGGTAAAGATTAGTACAACACTCTCTAGGGGTGTGTGTTACAATAGGTATCAATAGCGGACTATCAACAGGTTTGTCTTTAAAATTTCGCATAGATCTTGTCCCTTACTATACAATGCTTAAAAATAAACAAATGCAAATATTTTTGACATATGACTTATCAGTCTCAAATAAATCATTAAACTCCAGTTAATTCTATTTCACATACCCCGATCTAATATATTCCTATTTAATACTACCAGTATGTATAAATGACATTTGTGTTTATTTTGATTTTTTTTTTAAATTTTGGCGTTAAGATAATAAAAATCCCAAAGCTCGTTTCCCGAAAAGTACTGTTTAACTAGAAGTCAAGTTTTCAAAAGTATTTTCCAGTCGCTGTAACTGGCCCTCATAAATACTAATATAAAAGTTCTCATTCAGTATGTTTGTTATCTCTTGAACAAGAATAGGCCCTTTACGCGCCCTATTAAGCCAACAGAACCGTTTTTAGATCTTTTGTGGGGTTGTTAGTGATAATGATGTTTTTATCGTGGAGCTACGTGCCTCAAAATAATACAGGGAGATCCGGGCGGGATGTATTTTCCTTGAATATACGAAAAATTTCAATTTGTACGTGAAGATTGAAAAAGAGATAGGGGTCTAGGACGAGACCCTTGGGTCTATTGAATAAAAATAAGTGTTACCTTAGAAGTAGTAACTTTAAACCCTCCTTCCCACGGGTGGGGTCTATCAGTACACCTATAAATGAAATTGCTTAATTTTTTCAAATTTTTTTATATTTTTTTCCTAGACTCGGTGTACCTTTTAATGGCACTGAATAGTACACTTTCGCATAATTTGGTGAAATTGTATGAATCGCTTCAATTGCTACCTGTAAAAGTATCCTGACAGACCCCAACCGTAGGTGGGCGTTTCTTGTTTTGTGTAGGACATCTAATTAGCGAAGACCAAAGTGGATTTACGCCTGGAAGATCTTCACTGATAATTGTTTATACTCCAACAATTATAGAAAAAAGAATAGTGGTTGAAAAAGAACATTTTCTTTATGTTTTCACTTCTCTTTCGATATCTCAGCGTATTTCCTTAATTATTCTCAGTACTCATCTATGCCGTTTCCAGTAGCCTTTGCATTGTGGCTGTGTCGGGGCCTTGTTTTTGAGGCGTATGTCATTATTGGTTGTAATACTGGCTTATATAAATTCTTGACTTCATCTCAGTGTCAATGTGTCCGTTTCACCATATAGTGTTATTAGGCATCCTGCTAGTCTATTTGTTTTTATACTTGATCTCTCACTTCTTTGTTAGGTCTCATAGCTAGGCAGTGTAATTCACCGTTATTTTATTTCCATTACTTGTTCATCTGTTTACATCTGGTTTGGTTTATATTACCTTTTGAACTTCAAAAAACTGTACTTATAGATTTTTTCAGCTGATTTGTTTTTGTTTAAATTCAACTATGGTTTTATAAATTAATCAATACATTTTTACCTCCTGTATTCGGTTGATCCTTAATAGCACCGCTGAGGCTCGGGAATAATCTTGCTAACAGAGAGAAGAGCTTTAGTCGTTTTAAGAGGGACAAACGCATCCCGCTAGTGAAATGATGCACTCATATTGAAGACGTTTTGTTGTGTTGTTTTGTATAGTAGTGTATCCCAAAGGTAATAGCGGTAAGTTCACTACAGTATGTCCAACCCTTTTCAGTGCGTCACTAATTTGACATCATATAGGATTTAAAGAATGTCGAGAATTATTGCATGGCATTTTAGCTAAATTGACAGTTGCAGGATCGTAATCGGCTAAATGTGAAAAGGTTATTTTTGTTATTTTATTTTTAATGTATAATAAAAACTTTAACAATTCAAATTTTTATGTAATTTACATATTAAGGTGACGTCCTGTATAAAAATTTTTATTGCGATTATATTGGAACGTCAGTTGTCATAATTCCTATTCTATACATTCCATGGAAAGTGCTTAATTAGCTAGATTTGTTTATGGATTTATTATTATTTATTACAAACACTATGGACTTGGAATGTTTGTTTATTTAAAATAACGCTTCTCTCCTAAAATCTTTTAAGAGTTGACTGCGAGATAAAAATCAGTCATATTTGGATAAATAATTTTCCGATAAGCTTCTGTGGCAGCCAATAGTTTAATTTTGTGAAGATTTATTAGTGAATAGTGGAAATAGTTTAAATAGTAAAGCAGTTGATTTTTGAGTTCATTCTGACAGATTTGGTGTGCAGATGAAAGAGTGTTAGAAATTTAGTTAAAAAACAAGATACCGAATGTAAATTTATCTTCTTTTTTATGAGTAACAAAAATGAAATATTGTATTTCAAAAATCCACAATTTAATTCATAATCTGATTCATTAAAATCAATGATTTCAGCAGATATTGGCTGGTATCAATATATCAAATAATATATCTTCAATTACATTTCAAGAAAATGTCGTGGTTATAAAAAGAACCGTTTTAATACATATAAATATCCATTACGGTATTACTTTAAGTATTTCCTCAATATTCCTGAATCCACAATCTGATTCGCGAACGATAGAATCTGATAATAAAGTTTCCCAGCCTCTTTTTCTAATTGAAAATAATTTAATAATTGTATTATTAGTCTTTGTTCATTCTCGGTATATATCTGAATATTTAAAATAATTTTATGACAATAAATACAAAATTTAATTTTCACTGTAGATAAAATGTCTGAAAATACTAACCTGGAATGACAATTATCACTTTATCAGTTGACATTGTGAAAGTACTGTCACTGTCACAATCGAGACCATCTGTGTCAAATTATATTTATGTGCATCATTGTTTGGACATCTATTCTAAACTAAACTCCAACCAATTATACATCTGTAAGTAGTATTCGCTTTATTATGCAAATACCCATGAACGATACCTAATTTTCTAAGTTCTATGTATAATAATCACAGACTCACGTTTTTTTCTGTCACTTCTAGCTTAATGCGTTAGAGAGAATTCGAACAACTATGACGCACTGAAAAAAGGGTTTGGGACGGGACTATAGTTTTACCATGAGTTTTACCTAAACCTTTGAATTGTTTTTGATTGTTTATTGCAACCATTAAAATTTTGATAATTATTTGCACCTATGAGTTGAAGTTCATTTATCTTGCCAGAGCTATCGAAGGAATAGCTCGTGTTAATTTAATTACTATTAATTCGTCATACTAGTACATTATTTGTTGAATCCCCACAGTTTTCTTTACTGATTTATTATAATTTTATGGTCTCTTTTATACATACTTGGTTTCAAATACTAATTATTTGTAGCATATTTAAAGGAAATTCTGTTGTAAACATTTCTTTTGAATATTAATGGTATATGTAGTACACCTTTCTACTATTGAAAAAGGCGAAATCCTTATAATTTATTTTATGCAAAACCAGCAAGGTTGATCCAATTTGTTGCCATTAGAACTCATTAAAATTGACCTACCCCATGTACACTAACAACTTCAACCGTCTACGGTACATTGTGCCACCATGCAAATTAATTTTTTACGACTCTTTAGAAAGCAAAAATTACTAGAACACAAAGGCCTCCAAGAAAAGAAGTCCTTGAACCGCGAATCGATATGGTAGTGTGCAAGAATGTAAACTATTCATTAGATTGATTTAAAACTTAATATTTATTAAAAATTAATCTGGATGTAAGGGAGTAATAGCACTTGAACATAGTATTTTCTAGCTACGGGGGTATGCGGCACTATAATGTAATTACATGTAAGAGAAATGAGGAAAAGCACATGTGCCAATTAATAATTAAACAAAAATGAACAACATTGATTTATTAGAATAATTAGTGAAATTTACTATTTATTAAAGTGTACTCTAAAGAAATCTTTAGAAAAACTCTAAAAAAATAAATTACAATGGAATAACGGTTAACATCTAACGGTAGTGTTATATTAGCGGATCATTTCGAAGAACAATGAAAGAACCAAAGTTAAGTGCGCCACGTCATGGATAAATGGGATTCTACCCCAAAAAGAGATCCCAGAAACACCGTGGAAAAGTAAAGGCTTTTCCAAAAGATGATCCTTCAAAACCTGTTCACTTAACGGCCTTTATAGGTTACAAAGCTGGTATGACCCACGTGGTAAGAGAGGCAGACAGATCTGGATCAAAGATCAATAAAAAAGAAATTGTAGAGGCTGGAACAATTTTGGAAACACCACTCATGGTAATTGTTGGTGTTGTTGGTTACATCGAAACTCTACATGGTCTTAGGGCTTTAGCCACAGTTTGGGCTGAGCATCTCTCTGAAGATTGCCGCAGACGCTTCTACAAGAACTGGTTCAAGAGCAAGAAGGCATTTACCAAAGCTTCTAAGACTTCGAATTCCAAAAGAGATAATTGTATGTTTTATGAATGTATTAAGAAACCTAACATCTTTAACAATACCTTGATAAATTTTTACTCGAGAATAACTTTACTTGATCAGGATTTAACTCAAGTTAAGGGAAACTTATAATTTAATAATTGATGGATTCGACCGTTACTTGATGGAAATTCATTTTATATAACAATTAAACACTGAAAACTTTGTTTTCAAACTTCCACAAAATTTATTTTAAACTCTTATCACTACAGCTGTTTCGGCTGATTGCCTTTCTCAAGTGATCTATTTTTGGCGTGCGTTTACACTTTATAGTCTCTATTGAAATGAGTTGAGGAGGGGAGAACTGTTTGTCTCAAGTTGGTCATTCAGAATTATATCTGTGTTTTTTAATTTATTGATTTTCATAGATTTTAACAAAGATAGCTTAAGGCTTTTATTTTGAATGTGAAGAATTTTAAATTTGTCATTAAAAGAATGATTATGATCTAGAAGGTGAAGTGCGTATGTAGAATATGTTTTTCTATTATTGAAAGACCTTTTATGTTCTGCTATTCGTTTATTAAAGTTTCTACCAGTTTGACAAAAACTGCCCAAAAACTTACATCGGTCATGCATGCTGAAGAATTACAGAATATCGGTTTAAAGCTTATTTCCCCAATAATATTTCTGAAAATTAGCTCCACTCTTTCCGAATATAGTCACTTATTAAGCTTTCGGATGTCAGTTTATATAAGCCCCATAACATCACCAATTCCAGATTATATTCTAATAAATTTCTACCAAACACCTTATCGCATATTGTTGTCACAAGGTACACTCACCTGCTTTATTTGCAAAAATACAGGACACATATCATCTCAATGCAATAACAGTTCAGTAACGGAATCAATTCATATTGAGTCAAACAATGAAGTACCAAATCAAAAAGCTTCAACAAACATGGCTCCAAACACCCAGCAGTCATCAAGTTATCCATTATCAAATCCAAGCATATCACCTACACCTACAAATCTCCAGGACAAAGAAATTACTAATACTCCTACTCATAGCAACTTCTTTTCCATTAGATACAACTGCAGAAAATTCTAATAAAACTGATACATCACCACAATTTTCTGAAACAACCATTTCAACCAATCTTACAAATAAAACTTCAAGCTCGACTTTTGTCACTACCAATGAGTTTGCTCCAGTACTTCCAAATGTAATAAAGCCACAGCATCTAAGTGAAAACTCTAATAGCAATTGCGAAAACGCAAGTTCTTCCATAAAACGTGATATTGGTGAGATCGTCACGCCTCCTTCAGACTCAATTTCATCAGAAAATGTTTGCAAAACCCAAACCCTCTAAACCAAAAAAAACGCGCTCATCTAAAGTCCCATCTACACGGAAAACTCTTGAAAATTTCATTGATAATCATACCGCACTTTTCGTTTTAAATTACCACCAATTGTCCTTACTGATTGATAATGTCCAAGGCTCCCCCGGCACTATTAGCGTCGTCAAAGAATTTACAACTGATATGGCTGGTTTACTCCATCTTTTACAAAGCAGTTATCAATATGCAAATGATAGATCTACACAAAGAAAGTTTACAAAACTTCAAAATAAACTACACAACCGTTTAGGGAAAGAGGTTTCTGACTTAGATAGTGACTCTTCTGTAGACTATTGTTCAGTATCATCTAACTTCGAATCTATTAACAACATTCAACTCGATACTTCAATGGAATATTGATGGATTTTTCCATCGTCTACCTATGCTACAGCTTCTTTTATCTGAATATTCTCCAGATATTATTTATCTAGAGGAGACAAAACAATCTTCTTTTCCGTTTACCCCCAGTATGTAACACATATTCAGCTGAACTCTACGCCATATACCGTGCTGTGAAACTTCTTAATGAGCTTACACACACTAAAGCCCTGATCATAACAGATTTCCTTAGCTCTCTAAATTCATTAAAACACAGTTTTCGGAAACATCCTTTTGTAAAGTTGCTAAAATACCATCTTTCTCAAGCTCATGAACATGGAAGAAGCATCCAATTTTTATGGGTTCCCTCATACATCGGAATAACAGGAAATGAAGAAGCTGAGAAGACTACACGAGAGGAAATTTTAAGTGATTTGTCGGAGCCGATAGACAAGTGTGCTTCCAGTGACTTAAAAGCTTATTTTAAAAATAAAGTGTAGTGTTTGTGGCGAAATGAGTGGTCTCAAACTAATTCCAATCTAAATAAAATCAAAAATAATGTGTCCCAATGGTTTCCATCGTAGCGCAATAGACGAGAACAAATTGCGTTTGCGCGTTTACGTCTAGGACATACCAGATTAACGCACTCCTATCTTTTCAAAAAGAAAAATCCACCTATATGTGAACAGTGTAACGTCCGATTAACAATCGAACACTTTTTAATAATTTGTAGTAAATATGACCAAGAACGACAGCTCTACAAGATCCCAAACGCTTTTCCACAGGCTCTAGGTCAAAACTGTTCCTGTGACAATATAGTGAATTATCTCAGATCCATAAACATTTTGTGCAATCTGTAGGTGTTTAACTTTGTTATTTATATTTTGTTCCGTCGCTAATAACCTTTTGGTGGATGCGACAGATTTTTCTAATAAAAAAACTAATTATTGTGTATGGCTTCTCACTACTGAAATACTTTATTGCAGCTCCCTCGTAACTGCACAGTATAGTTGTTTTTTGATAACCGTTTTTGAGAAACACGGTGCAAGTGTAATATAAATTTATTAATAAACCGTGTTTTCTTATCTGTATTTAAGAAATGCTGATTTTAGATGGACAAACCACGCTAAGAAATATAATTTTTCCTTTCCCAATCTTCACATCTTCACGCGACGTTATTAATTATATGTTATTCCGTATATTATTCAGAATAATAAATTATTTCAGATTCGAGTCGATAAAGTTACCTCAACCACGCACTTTTTAAGTCATGCATAGAACGGCACACCCCCACCAGCTAACAATACGCCGTTATTACAATGCTGCATATCGGTAGAGTACATTGTGAACATGGGTCTTTAATTTTCAATAAAAGTCCGGTTGCCGTCATAAATCGCCCATTCGTAATCATACAGCCAACATAGATGACAGCTTATATCGATCTGTAAAAGGTCTGTTGGTTTTTGAGCTTTCGCCACTATTATTAACCTAGTTATGCAGCTACCTTGAGGGCTTCAAAGCCTTATATCCTTTATTATTAATTCGATGTGGAACAGTGGTGCCGTTTTTTTATTTTTCATGCTTACCGCTTATCATCTACGGTATGAATATTTAGGCCTTTATACATTTATCCCTTTTTCATTAGATAGGTACATTTTCGTTCATTATGAGTTACAGCACAGAAAGAATAGAAATTGTCAATAAAATATACTAGTGCTAACAATCAGTTTGCATTAAAAAGATCTTTGATTATGTGCAAAGTAGACCAGGGAATTAACTATCATTTAACGATTAAAAATTGATATTAAATATTATAAAATGGGTTTACATAAAGTACTATGCATAAAAATAACTCATCAACGCATCAATATAAATCACTTATTTGAGAAACCCGATAAGTCACAAAACTAAAACTTTCGGAAGAGAAGAAAAAACTGTGTGAGGAAAACACGAAGATTTCTACATATTAAAAACTGACCTAATTCCCTTTATACACTGTTTCTTGACTTTTTCACTCCAATTTTGAAAAAAATTGGGAATACGCTCTATATAAGTTCAAACTTGATTGACTTATGGGTTTCTCAAATAAATTGTTTTGCGTCACCTAAAACTAACCTTTATAAGAAATTAAAATGAATAAAAAACAAAATACACATAGTACATAGTATTGTAAATTGTATTAAAAAGTACAAAAAAAATTATTGCAACCCAAAAAAATCCATCACCATGGATTACCAAAAAAGTCCATCACAATGGACTACCAAAAATTAAATGTCATATCTATCTATAGCCCCGAGGACTGCAAACCAAAGGAGAAACGAGAGATATTCTACGAACAATTTCGAACCATCCTGGATGAATTACCTTATGAAGAACCCTTAATTCTGATGGGCGACTTTAATGCACGAATGGAAACGATATAGTTCCAGGAGTAAAACAATGATTTAACGAAAATCATGTCAGCGCAAATGGAGAACTGATGGCTAATCTCTGTGCTTTTAACGAACTGAGAATCAATAATACATTTTTCGGCCGTAAGCTCTATTGTAAATATACATTTGAAAACTCCAGAGGGCATAAATCTATGATTGAATTTATAGTCACTAATAAAAACAATCCAAGAAAGTCCCAAAACACCAAAATTAAATATCTCAATATCTAACAAAACGTTTATAGAAAATGACTTAAACAATGAGCTAAAAAAACCAATAAATGAAAACAACACAGAAATATGGAACACATTTAAAGATCTTACCTTGAAAGTAATAGAAAAATATGCAACAACGTTACACAGGCACAAAAAACAACAATGGATGACTGATGAAATCCTGGAATTAACGGGGCAGAGAAGGAAACTGAATGGTAACAAGAGAGAATATAAGGAAAAACAGAAACTAATTAAACAAAAAGATGGAAACAGAAAAATGGATGGAGGATAAATGCAAGGAAGTAGAAAAGTTGAATGAAAAACCTGATACGTTTAATATGTTTAAAAAAGTTAGAGAAGTAGCTGGTCTTTATAATAAGAAAACTCCACATACTATAACCGATTCGCCGGGAAAAATGATAATAAAAATGATAATAGACGAACATGAAATTCGAACAACCTGGTGTAATTATATAAGTCAACTGTATAATGATGATAGACCCGAAGAACTGGAGACTTTAGTTGAAGGTGAAAGACCAGAAATACTAAAATCAGAAATACTGCATGCTATAAAGTTAGCAAAGAACAGGAAAACCGTTGGCCCTGATAACATACCGACAGAGATGTTAAAGCTTATAAATGAGGAGAACATTGGAATACTGGTCAAGCTTTTCAATGATGTTTATTCGACTTGTGATATCCCTGAGATTGGTTAAAGTCCGAATTCATAACACTACCAAAAAAACAACGTCCGAAAAACTGTAGCGATTATAGAATTATAAGCCTTATGAGCCACACTTTGAAAATATTTCTACGCATCATCCACAGTAGAATCAGAGATAAATGTGAAGAAGACCAGGATGAAACACAATTTGGCTTCAGAAATGGACTGGGAACTCGAGACGCCCTCTTTGCACTAAATGTATTACTGCAGAAATGTCGACATCAAAGAAAAGGCGTCTTTGCTGTATTTATTGACTGTGAAAAGGCTTTTGATCGAGTACAGCATCACAAATTAATTGCAATATTAAAAGATAAAGGAGTTGATAGTCAAGACATACGATTCATAGAAAAGTTATACTGGCATCAAACAGCGACAGCTTGCATAAACGGAAAATCAACAGAAATATGTAAAATACAAAGAGGTGTCAGACAGGGTTGTATATTATCCCCACTGTTATTTAATTTATATTCAGATAGAATATTTAAAGAAGCGCTGCATAATTTGGAATGGGGCGTGAAAGTTAATGGAATTTTGATAAATACAATCAGATATGCAGACGATACAGTTATTTTAAGTGATGACATAAATGGACTACAATGCCTTTTAAATGCCATTGATATAGTGGGAAGAGAGTTTGGCCTAAACATAAACTTTGATGCAAGGTGCAAGATGCAAGATACAAGGCAAATATCGAACACAGTAATTAATTAAATCTTGCCCAAGTACTTTCGATCAATGGATCATCCTCAGGGGCATTTCGTCAGTTGTGGCCTATCCGACATGAGCAGAATGTCATACATGTAAATTTGGACATAACAATACAATACACAAAGAAAAACAAACAGTTTATAATTTTTAAAAAAGGGAGAAGCTACATGTTATATAGAAGCCGGAGACAGAATTCAGTCATCATTTTTAATGAGTGTTGCGAAATAATTCATGCATCCCAAATTGTTTGTGTAAATTGTGGCGACATAGAAAGGTTGAAATAAAAATAAAAAATCGTGTCAGTTGTTTCGATATGTATTTATTTGGTTGGTCTTTATTATGGCTGCAATTTCAAGCTTAAAATGTACCTACTCTGTTTCGTTTTTGTAAGATCTAAAGTAACGCTTAATAAATAGTAATAGGTTAATGGGTAACTGCGACATTAGCAAGACTCTTGCTGCAAGACCAGATGTATTGGCGCAAGACCAAGACCAAGACTGTCTAAGTCTCGTCTTGTTCGTGCATTTGGGCAACACTAGTTGTGTCCCTTTATTCCGTTTTGACTGAGGTACCGACGGTATATTGCAATGTTGTGAATCTTAAATCTGGTCCTGATTGGCCGCTCGGGGCAGACCGGCAACGTTGTCGGCCGATGTCCCGTAAGAAATACATTGCCTTTCTAACCTGCACTGCATTCTAACTATGGCTTCTACTATAGACACCTTTGAAACGTAAGCAACAAAATAATAGTATTATTTTGATAAGAAATGTACTTTAATATACAAATAAAGACCTATTTAAATATATTGTACTCTCCATTAAAAATTAAAATACTATCTTTATTGTTTATTTAACAATGCTTTCTGGAATTGTATATCAACTTCCTTCATTTTGATAAAATCACATACTATTCTACATTTAAGAATAAAAAAATAAGAACACTCATTTACTTTTTTTAAATTTGTACTATTTTCTGTATATTAACTGTAATACCGTATCTTATATGTTAAATTTTGTTACAGGAAACGGATCCTCCTCAGGATTTCTCTTATGAGGATAATTCCTCATTGAGCGATTGAGTATGCAGATGCTTAACAGCGTTTTAGTGAAACTTCTGTTAATTTATTTGGAAACGTCCTACGCTGTCGATCCCTGTAAGTCCTATTTGCATGTTCACATTTCATTTAACACATATATACAATGTTCGCTCCGTGTTTAACTTATACGTCTGTTAGTCAAACTGTTGGAATACGAAACATTGTTTTCGGAATTTAGACAAAAAGGAGATAGTTTTTGGTTTAGGATCAGAATTTAATATAAAATTTTTTATGTTTAAATTAAAATTACTTTAAACGAGGCGTTTTTAAATTGAATGGAGAGTTTTTTTTTTAATTTTTTGGACCTTAATAGGTAATAGCTTTTTTTTCAAACTGGGTTAAATGGTTTTTTTTTTAAATTAACAGTTGGAGGCCAACAATGCATCCTTTTAAGTATCTTCGTCTACCAGCTTCAAACAAAATTTGAGATTACTATCTTATAAATCACCTTTAAAGCTTTACAATGGCGATTTATAAATGTTGATTTCCTACTTTCTTGCACAGAAAACTGTAAAAAAAACCTCGTATTGTAAAAAATGAAACTACAACCTTAATATTGGATGTAGAGTTGGGTCTTACAGTATTAAAAATATATCCTTAAAATTTCAGAGTAATTCATTGATTAGTTAGAAAGAAATCTAAATTGTTTATCTTAAACAACAATTTTTCTGCAATAATATGTCAAGAAAATAAACTTATAACTATTCTACGGATATTATAAATAATAATGGAAGATTTTCCATTAAAAGAATTTTAAAAAAGTGAACACTTAGAGAGGTATCACTATATTAAAACCAATTGCATGAGAGCCAGTGGAGGAACTTATATCTTTATTTCTTCCGATATTTTCTGATCACACCTTCCACTTTGTTCTAATTTAGAAGCCATAGCTATAACTTGTTGGTGTCCTAATAAAATCACAATATGTAATTTATCTGCTTATCTGAAAAACTGACTAACCTAATATTTGAACTACTTAGCCCCTACATACTTGTCGGGGATTCCAATGTTGATAATGTGTTGTGTCGTTCCAATCAGATATATCATCATCAACTAGCCTCTAATATCAACTGCTAAACATAGGCCTCTCGCATGCTTTTCCACTTAGTCCGATTTTGCGCCATCTGAATCCAATTTGTAATCACTCTTTTTATGTCATCTGTCCATTTCGTTGGGGGTCGACCTCTATTTCTATGAGCTTGTGTTCGGGATCTCCATTCCAAAATTATTTATGTCCACCAGTTATCAACTGATCTTGCTACATGACCTACCTAGATCCACTTTAGTGTTGTTATCCTTTCAATAACGTCCCTCACGTCTTATCACGTAAAGAAATCCCTAACATTATTCTCTCCATTGCTCTTTCCGCAACATGTAGTTGACTCACTGTTGTTCTTGTGAGCTTTAAGGTTTCTGCGCCGTAGATCATCACTGGCAAAATACACTGATTAAATACTTTTCTTTTCAGACACATTGGAATCTTAGATCTAAAAATATCCTTCATCCTTCCAAATGCAGCCTAAGCGAGGTTTATTCTTCTTTTCAGCTCGATTGTTTGGTTGTCTCGACTTATTCTGATCTCATGGCCCAAGTATTTGTAGGAGTCAACTGGCTCAATATCTTTGGCTTCTACAATCACACATATGGTAGATGTAAAATAGTCGAAAATTGTACCATATTCCTCCAATTTGCAAAAATTCAACACCAGGTCCCAATAGCATCCTCTTCATACTCCTCAAAAATCCCATATCTGCCGTAAAAAAATTGCTTATACTGCACAACATAATATGAATATTATGGAGGGAATCTATCATTATACCAAATACATAAATTTGAGTTAAACTACGTACATTGGATAGTAGAAGCATTGACTGTTAGATTAAAATTTAAGGGAAAAATTCTTTTTTTTTTAATTCAGTCTCATTTACTTATAACTGAAATAAAAAGTGTTTTTTTAATGTTTACTAAATTTAAACCATCCTGATAATCTTGCACTCCTAAGCCAATCTTATTTGCAAACATTCCTGCTAGCTTAATTTTTGAGCCAACAAAATTAGAAACAAATATATTTTTGAAATACTACAGTGTTCTGCTAGGTTTTAACGAATTTATTATCACCCTAGTAATTATTCACTCCCAACTGCCTCTTATGGAAAACCAATAGTTCTGTTACGTTCAAATTTAAGGTGAAAATATACTCTTTTACAATGTCACTCTCCTCTACTTATAACTAAAATAAAAAAGTTCTGTTAAGTTTAGACTAAAATTTGATCACCATGGTAATTTTTCACCCCTAAACCAATCTTATTTGGAAACATTACCAGCGTTTGAGCGGAATTAATAAAAATTATTTTTGAAATACCAGTGTTTTGCTAGGTTTTTACGAATTTATTACCACCCTAGTAATTTTTCACCCTCAACTAACCCATGTGGAAAGTGAACAATTCGTAGGTTAAAATTTAAAGTGATGAAAAATTTATTTTTACAATTTTACTGTACTCTATCAATCAATAATTCTCTTAGGTTAAAATTTATGGCGAATTTTTTTTTAATTTCAACGTTTGTACTCTACATATAATTGAAATTAAAAAGTGTTCTGACAAGTTTTTGCTACACTTTTAACACCCAGATGGTTTTCCACCACTAAAGCAATTTTATTTGGAAACGTTCCCGCTAGCTAAATATTGAAGCCAGCAGAATTAAAAAAAAAAATTGTTTGAAGTGCCGCAGTGTTTTGATAGGTTTTTACAAATTTATTACCACTTACGTGGTAAGGTTATAAAACTTACCACTACCACTTACGTAATAAAAATATTACGTAGGTTAAATTGGAGTCCGCTCATTTGTCCTGGCTAGCTTAAGAGTCCCTCAATGTCGAGTAAATCCAGTGATGAAAATCTAAATATTTATTACTTTCTCTTTTACATATTCTCTTTATTGTAAATTATACCAATGTAATGTAATGTCAAATCTATAATTACAAAATTGACCCAGTGTCAATAATCTTGTAGTTAAGACATAATAGACTAAATAAAAAAATGCACATAATATTTTAGTACTACTCAGTATTATAAAAAGTATCAAATTGAGATTAATTCATTTTTCCCCACATCTCATCGCGAATTTTATTGATTGTCTCATTGTATAAATTGCACGGTGAAACATAAATCTCCTCAACCGTTAATTTGACAGATGTCAAATATCAATGAGTTCTCCAAGAATACAGCAGCAATAATAATAACAGCCCTTTCCGCTTTCAGGCTCTATTGAAGAGATTTTGGGGTTCAATCCTTCAACTCGGAGAATATTAATAATATGCCACAGCTGCTATTTATTGTCAGTATTATATTAAGCTCGGAATAATGGCAAGTCGACAAAACTTAAGATTAATTAAAAGGACCCACAAAGAAAAACTTTCCAAAGCATTAGGCCCTCTTAAATTTTTACGCGAACAAAAATTCCCTTAGTAATATTAATTAAAAACACTTTTGTCAACATATAAGTGCGTCGTTTCCTTAGACAAAGGGCCTTTAGTTATCAAAGCAAGTGCCATTTATTATTTTGGTCTGCGGAAACTGACCTTAAGAGTCGAATTGAAACACAAACCATAGTGAATAAAGAATTCTACCATTTTTTAAACATTTCTGAGAATTCTTGGTTGGTTTAGTAAACAAAGGAAATATAAGAAATATAAAAATGTTGAGAAATTAAATTCAAAAGTTTTATACAATAATACAACAGTCCCTACCAATTCATAAACAACCTAAATTTTTAAGGTTTTTAATATTAAGAAGTTTGTACGATTTTTTATTAATTTTGTCTTTCTTACTTAGTTTTTTTTTCGATCTTTTGATATAGATATCTATCTTTGATTCTATCTCTCATAGTATTAGAAGTGTGGGATGCCGAAGAAATGCTTCAAGAATAGAATAAGGCATTTATGATTCCTATACACAATTAAGGAGATATAACTGAATACGCAAACTATAGAGGAATATCCTTATTAGAAGTAATATACAGAGTGGCCCAAAAGTCTGGAAACATCTAATTATCTCGTAAATTACTAGACATATACAAAATTTGAGATACACCTAATTTGGGATACTTAGATTCCATATTTGGTATTTGCAATGTTACCAATGTATTCAGTCATTATTGGAATCTCCTATTAAATACGAGTTCAACCATATGTAACACTTATGATTTTATGTAGTCTGGAAGGACTTAAATACATAAAACAGAAGTCTGGCAACGCCCAAATTGTTTCAATACATTTTTTAATACTATTTTTAAATACATTAAAACGTAACAATTGATAGTTTAGAATATTTTTTAACATAATAGTTACGTTATTAAGTGTTCAAAATGTGCTCAATTTGTGAGTTGATAGCACCCTAATCGATGGTAGAATGCGTCTACCATATTTCTCTATGATTGTCTAGAAATTATTCGAGATTCATTGATAATTCATTGCCTTAGCTATGCAAGACTTGCTGGTTAAGTTTTGTAAACTGAATTTGTCAAGTGTCTCTAATAAAAATAATTTTTAACGTTAAATTTCTTTCGATAAAAAATGGCCCAATTAAATAAGTACCTACTATAACTGATCATACATTTAATTTTTGTGGTCTTTGAGTATGGTTTTCACGCATTCAGTGTGAATTTCACACGAGTTAAGCTATTCAATACGAGTTCAACCATATGTTCACTTGATTTTATGTAGTCTGAAAGATCTTAAATACATAAAACAGTGCAAAATATGTAGATTTTAATAAATCTAAATATTTAGATGGAGAATGCTGTGATTTTGACATTTGTTCACCATTTAAACTATGAACTAAAATTGACAGTAGTTGTGGTTAAAAAGTGCTGCAATTTAAATTGCTTCTCTAAAATGCCGTTCTCTAAACCGTTCTCCTATTCATAAGACGACGGTACAAAAAACTGTAAGGCGATTTGAGGAATCTGGAGAAGTAAAAGAT